TTATTAGGTTGTCTATTTGTGCTCATTCTGTTTTCCTGATGTGAGAGTTTACTGGTATAAATTTCCCTCTTTAGTACTGCTTTCATTGTAACTTAGTGCTGGAACCCACAGGTTCCAGTATGTTGTATCTGCATTTTTGTTTAATTGTAGATATGGTTTAATTTCTTCTTTAAGTTCATCTGTGACCCGCTGTTTGTTCAGGAGGCTGTTATTTAATTTCCACGTTTTTATGGACTTTTTGTGGTTTCTTTAGCCAATAATTTCCTATTTCATTGCACTATGGTCACATAATATGCATGGAATAATTTGAATTCCTTTGCATTTACTTAATTATGTTCTTTGGGCTAGTATATGGTCTATTTTAGAGAATGTCCTGTGTGCAGCCGAGAAGAACTTGTATTCTGATATTGTTGGATAGAACTCTCTGTAAAAATCTACTGAGTCCATTTGTTCACAGGTTTGGTTCAGTTCTTATATGTCTTTGCTGATTTTTGTCTTGTTCTATTTTTTATGACAATGGGGTATGATGTACTCTCATTGCATTTGTGTTATTGTTTATTTAATTTTTCATGTATATTAATATTTATCTTGTGTACTTGGGTGGTCCTGTATTTGGTGCATAACTATTTATGCTTATTATCTTTTCCTCTTAATGTTTTCCCCTAACCATTATCTAGTGTCCTTCCTCATCTCTTTTGATCAATGTTGTCTTAAAGTTCACATTATCTGCCAACAATGCTACCCATGCTTTTTTCTGGGCTCCTGTTGTATGCAGTATTGTTCTCAATAATTTTACTTTTCATCTATGAATTTCTTTTTGAGTTAAATATGTTTCTTGTATATAGCATATTTTGGTTCTTGTTTCTTGATTCATTCTGCCAGACTGGTTTCTTAGATTGGTGAATTTAAGCCATTTATATTGATGTTTATAACTGTTCTGTATTTGCTTATCTTTTCCATGTTATTCTCATGCTGTTGGTTCCCTTCTTCTCCTCTCTGTTTAGTTGCTTGCCCTTCTGGTGGTTTCTTTCTGTTGTTGTTCTTGGGATTGTGGTGACTTTTATCTCTGCCTAGAATATGTTTCAGTAAACTTTGTAGGTGTTAGTTTGGTGGTTGTGAATTTCTTCAGTAGTTCTTTGGCATCAAAGTATCCTATTTATCCATTAATTTTGAAATATAATTTTGCAGGGAACATAAGTCTGGATCAGAAGTTATTTTTTTACTGGACTTAAAATACTTCACTCCAAGTTCTTCTTGTTTTGGGGGTTTATGTTGAGAAGTCTGCCATGATTCTGATGGCTTTTCTTTGTATGTTTTCTGTTTCTTTTCTCTAACAACCTTTAATATTTTGTTCTTGTGCTTAATTTCTGGAATCTTGATTATTATACGTCTGAGTGTAGATTTATTTTGGTCATGAGTTAATTGGAGTTGTATATGCCTCACTTATTTGTAAGTCAGATTCGGTTCCCATGTTTGGGAAATTTTCTGGTATTACTTCTGCAAATAGTCTTCTTATGTCATTTGTGTTGACACTTGCTTTTTCATTGAGAACTATTGTTCTTATGTTGTTTTTGTTTGCATCTTCTTGTGTGTGTGGAATTGTTATTTCTTGATCACTTGTTATTTTGAAGATATCTTTCCTTTTGCCATCACTAGCCATGACCCTCTCTTTATGTCTGAAAGTCTGTCTTTATTTTAATTCAAGTGATTTTGTCAGCTTTCAGTGGAATTTTTTATGTCCTGGATATATGTCTGCATCCATTTCATGCATTCTGTTTCTTTCCTATAATGATCATTCATCATTTCCATCCTTTTCCCATCATCATCTTTTTTTTTAAAGCTATCTTTTTTTAAATCTAACTGTACATTTGCTGTGCAATTCCTTCATGAATGTTGACATTAATTTTTTTACCTGAGAGATTATTTCTGATCTGATTTCCTCTATAGCCTTATGAATTTGTTTCTTTACTTTAGTTGCTATTATTTCAGAAATTTCAGGTGTGTGTCTTCCATTTTCTTGTATCTTGTTGTCTCCTGGATTTGTTCTGTGTGGCTGCTGGTCTGAGATTGCGTCTTGCTTCTCTGTCTTCTCATTTTCTCTTTCAAAAATTTTTATTTTTTTCTTTGTTTATCCTTTTTTTTTTCTGTACCAGGAATTGAACTCACAAACTCATGCTTGCCAGGCAGGCACTGTGCCATTGAGCTATATCCCCAGCCCCTCTTTGTTTATCCCTGTAAGCTTTTGTAGTAGGTGGCTATATCACTAGTATCAAGTCTTCTCTCAGAAAAGTCTGTTCTTCAGGAATGACTGCTATGTGTCTTGGTTTATTTCTGTCCCAAGATCCTACCTTCCCAATTAATTAAGAGTGAGATTTTGGTATCTGTTTGGCTCAGTCCCCAGGTTTTTGGTGCTGGGCTGTGGTGAAAGTATTATTGCAGAGCTTTCTGGTATTGTTACAAAAGGCAGAACAACTGATTACAAGAGATATGACTTCCTAACTAAATTAGTTTAATTAGCAGGAACAGTAGCGTCAAGTACAGTTTAAAAACTGACACTGTGGTAGGTGTTATTTTATACCTTAAAAGATATTATTTTTGTACCTTAAAACACAGGAGCAAAATCTAAAATTATATAACAGAACTGATCATAAATTGGGAGCTTGTATTCAAAGTGTTTTCCCTTGGTAAAGTAGTTTTATCCTGTCGTAGGGCTATTTAAGGATAGTGAATAGAACAGTGGAGCTGAAAAGAAAGCAGAAGCAAGGTTGGAGGACAAAGAATGATCATGCAGACTTTGGGAGACTAGAGAAGAGGGAGAAGAGAAAGAATGAAGGAGTAAGCAAGGGATTATCTGAACTTGGTCTCTACGTTTGGGGGATCAGATTAGTTCCTATGGCTAGAATTTTCCCCAGCCATTTAGAAAAGAGGAACACAGAAAAGAGAGAAGAAACAGAAAGAAAAAAGGAAGACAGAGAATTGGGCCAGTCCCCGTCCACCTGCTTCTATTCCATGTGTCTTTTTCCCCAAGCACAACGCTGGTTCACCTAACTTATCACCTGTTGGCTAGCGTTATTATTGTTGCTTTGGACTTTTCCACACCGTTAGTTCTGCGCATCCATCCTATAGTCCCTAGTCTGGACCCTACTGTGTTGCTGGCATTTTCTTTGGTCTTTAGGCCTTCTCAAGAGTTTCACCTCAGTTGTGGCAGCAGCAAGGGAAGAGGCTGATCTCTGGGCCTTCCAGCATGCTTCATCTTGGTCACAGCAGCAGTGGTGATGACAATCAGAGGGGTTGCCCTCTGCACTGTTCACTTGTGTCACAGCAATGGCAGTGGGATGTCTTCAAGTTTTTAATATATATTCTAGATATAGCACTTTGCAGAATAACTGACAAAATTTTTTGTTCATCCTGTAGGTTGTCTCTTCACCTTGTTTGGTGTTTCCTTTGCTGTGCAAAAGTTTTAAAATTTGATGTAATCCCATTGGTTGATCATTGATGTAATGTCTTGTGAAATTGGGGTTCTGTTCAGAAAGTAGCGATGGGAAGGGGATCTGGGGAAGCAGGAAGAAGGGAGGGCAAGTGAAAATGATCAAGATGAGTCATACAGATATATTCATTCTTCAAGCAAATGTAATCACTGTATTTCACACATTTTAAGACATTTTTAAAAATTGTCAAATAATACTTGATTCAGATTCAGTAGATTAGGCATCTAATCCCAAATCTTCCATTTTCATGATGCCCGTTCTTCCATCACTTGGTCTCCTTCCAATTCACTAAAGATCTCTCTCTCTATTGCCTATTGTACATTTTGTAATTTAGTTTTTAATTTATTTCTTATTTAGGTTCCTGTGTCTGTCCAAAGTAGATTTTCTATTTCTTATCTTAGATCACATTTTTCCTTCTTTCTTGGTGTATCATTTACTTGGTAGATCAGGTTCTTAAATAAATTCATGAAAATTATATTTAGAAGCTAAGTTTTTGGGACTTCAAATACGAAAAATGTGTTTACTATTACTTCACATATAAGCATTTAGGCTAGAATAAGAATAGAATTACATGTGAAAAATTATTTTTCATAAATGTTTAAAAAGTGTTATTTAATATATTTTATCTTTCACTGTTGCTGCTGAGGAAGCCAACACCATTCATACTGTTAATCCTTTTAATGTAATCTATTTTTTATTCACCCCAGTGTTCAAGTATTTACTCCACCCCCAGTTTCATAAGTATGTGATATGTTTTTCATTGCATACCAATAATGGCCTATAAATTGACAGGTGACATTATTTAACCCATCAGACTGACAGAAAGGACATACATACAGTACAGATGAGTAAAGGAAATGTTCTTGCTCTCCTTTGGATGTGAGCAATAAAACTTGCAGGCCTCATTGTAACTGCCAGTCATCTTGTGAATATTTAAGAAATCATTTAGGGATATATACAAAGATGGAAGGGGTAGAAAGAAAAGTGGTTCTTAATCATATCAAATGCTATTACTGGAAAATATCCTACCTGTAAACTCTTTTATTTAATCAGATAATTAATGTGATTATTATTCAAGGAGGCATAAATGAATTTCCTTTTTTTAACTTGAAGCATCCTGACTGCTGTAGGATGCTTGTAAGATTTTCTTACTACCTTAATTTTTTAATGTCTCATAACTTCAGTAATTCTTTCTGCTACATATTTCACATCACCTTTCAACCTAGAAACTAATATCTTTCAGTTGGAAGAAATACTTCATTGTATCTTTGATAATTGCTTTCTTTTTACTTCTCTGTTTTCCCATTCTGAAATGTCAACATAAATAGGAGGACAAAGTTAGATGAGCATTCTAAAATAAGAATTCTTAAGTGAACTCCAGGGAATTCACTTATCAGCTACAGATGAATTTTTACCTTCTTAAAATTGTATGCAAAATAATGTGTTTGTGTAAGTATTCTCCATTTTTCCTGAGAGGAAACCCAAAGCTAATTTAAATTTTTTATTATGCAGAGAAGAATCATTCCTCAAATGTCACAAGTCCTTAAGTTTGCAAACAAGCATAGCTGTGAAGTGCTGACTCGTTAAAAATGAAGGGGAGGAGGCAACAGGTATGGAGAAGGTAAACTCTGTGAGTAGTTTCTGACACTGTATGGGACATGCGTGGCTACTAAATTTGTTTCATTCTAAAGAAAAAAAGGTTAAAAGGCTAAACAGCCATTTGACTGATTTAAAAGGGCAAAGTAAAATATCTCATCTGTTACTGCAGTAGATGGACAGCTTTGTAGCTCTCAGTTGAATATTAGCCAAAAAGTGAATGTGATTTGAGATCTTACTTTAAAGAAAGAAATAAGTAAATCTTCAATAATGAAATTAAAATCTTTTTGTGTGCCAAAGTATCATCTAAAGTTTTATTATACTATAAGATGTTTCATACAGTAAATAATATTATATGAATAGCTATGTATATACTTGAAATTTTAATGAAAAGGAAAATTAAACTGTTGTAATGGAAAGTCTTTACAATTACTTTCCAAAATAGCATCTTAAATTGTTCAATTTAAGAATACTTTTGGCAAAGAAATGCATTATAGTAAGTACAATAATAGTTCTAAAACTCCTTAAAATATTTCACTTTTTTCTACCATTTAAAATTACTATTTGGATAATGCTGGTATCATTTCAAACAAGCCACCTTTAAATAGTTTTGTTATATATATATCTACATAGATATCTATATATCTAGATATATAGTTCTAGACACATAGATATAGATACATAGATAGATGTATTTGTTCATAACTTGTTTCATCAAAATATCATGTTAATGGGCTTACAGGTGGTTTACACTGGAACTGCTAAAAACAAGAGCAACTGAGGATAGTAAGTCATAGAAAGTATAAAACTCAACCCCGGCTCGAGTCTTCAGGGCTAAGAGGAAGAGCAAGTAACAGAGTGGGATGAGTCTACATTAGGCACTGATGAATTTTGGTTAAAAGAATGAGGGACTGAGGTTTTGTAGGCCAGCCAATAAAAACATAAAAACGTGCCTACTGCTATTATGTGTTAGCTGAATACAAATGAAAACTGCAACAAAATATTCCTACGCCTTTAGTAGAATGGCTACAATTGATAACAAAACCAACAATGCCAAGTGCTAAGAACAGTGCAGAGAAACTGGAACTCTTATGTGTTGCTGGTGGTAGTGGAAAACGGTTTGGCAAATTTGGAAAAATAGAAAGTTCCTTGTAGAGTTTAAACATACTCTTACTATTTGGTGCATCAATTCCCATCTAAGGTAATTTTGAACTCTTCTGTATTTGTTATTCAGATTAATGGGGTTCATTTTATCAGATATTTATATACACAGAACGTTCTTTGATCATCACATACTTTGATCACTCCCTTGCTGTGTTCACTACCTGTTTCACATTTCAGGGGAGTTTTAATGTGTATGATATATTTTGCTCATGTCTGTACCTCCTTATTGCCTACACTTACATCTCTCCTAATTCTGTTTATTGCATTCCTCATGTCTAATAATATTCTCTCTTCTGTCATATTTTTGAGATTCCATATACTAGGGACAATATGTGATTTCTCTTTCTGAATCTGGCTGACTTCACTCAACATCAAAGTCTCCAAATCCATCTATTTTCCTATAAATGACTGAAATGTGTCTTTCTGTATATCCCAGTATTATTCCATGATGTGTATATATGACATTTTCCTTATTTGCTTATCTCTTGGTAAACACCTAGGCTAGTCCCATATATTGGCTATTGTGAATTGTGCTACAATAAGTACGTCTGTGCAGGTGTCCCTATAGTATGCTGCCTTTCATTGCTTTGGGTATGTAACAAATAGTGGTATAGCTGGATTAAATGCTATCTCTCATGTTAGTTTTTTGAGGAAACTCCATATTGATCTCCATAACTGCTGTGTTAATTCACATCCTCACTAGTCATACAAACGAGGTCCCTTTTCTCTGCATCTTCGCCAGTATTTATTATATTCTTGATGATAGCCATTCTGACTGGGATATGATGAACTCTTAAAGATGTTGAGTATTTTGTCATGTATTTATGGCCAATTTGTACTTTTCTGAGGTCTGTTCAATTCATTTGCTTATTTAAAGGTTGGACTATTTGATGGTTTTGTGTTAAGTTCTTTTTAAATTTGAAGTATTGATCCTCTATACAAAAAGTAGCTGGTAAATATTTTCTCTCATTTTCTACATTGTCTTCATTCTGTTAGTTTCTTCCCTTGATGTGCAGAAACTTTTGAATTTGATGTAGCCTCATTTGTTGATTCTTGTTATTATTTCCTGTGCTACTAAAGTCCGATATAGAAAGCTTTGCCAGTGCCTGTGGCATCAAGTGTTACCCTTACATTTTCTTTTTGCAGTTTCAGAGTTTCAAGTATTACACCTAGGTATCTGATCCACTTTGAATTGATTTTTGTATGGAGTGACAGATAAGAATATAATTTCAGTCTTCCACAAGTGGATATCCAGCACTCGCAGCAGCATTTGTTTAAAAGCTGATCTTTTAAATGAAGTATTGCTGAATTTGGTTTGTGAGTATTTTAAGGATTTTGACATGAATGTTCACCAATGTCATTGGTTTATAGCTTTCTATTTTTGTTGTATCCATTTCTGGTTTTGGTATTGGGGCTAGGCGCTCATAGGATGAATTTGGAAGCATTGTTTCCTTTACTAGTTTATGGAATAATATGAGGAGCACTGATGCTAGCTATTCCTTAAAAGTTTGCCAAAATTTCCATCTTAATTATTCACACACGAATACAACATACCTCCACACAAGACTTGTTCATAAGCATTCATAGCAGTTTTATTCACAAAGTTTATACTTTGAATGCTTTAGAATGGCCATTAGCATGAAAATAAACAAGTAAATCGAGATGTAGTCTTAAAATGGAATACCTTGCAACAGTAAAAGGAATAAACTGCAAAGCATACAAATCATAGAATATCAAAAATGTTATATTTAGAGAAGCAAGACAAGCACAAAATGTAAATATTTATCATTTAGTTTGCATGAAATTTTAGAATGTCAAAATCAGGCTGTGGAAGAAGTCTTGTCAGAGGAGGATAAAAGAGGAAGAGATTGCAGTGGCATGATGGAACTTCTGTGTTGATGGGACTCTGCTGTATTTTTATTTGTGTAGTGGTTTAGGATGTTTATGTATTTGTCACCTCATCAAACAATGCTCTTAACATCTATGTATTGTATTATAAGTTACACCAAATCAAGTAATATAAAAGATTAATAAATAAAGCAAAGCATATATAAAATAAATAAAGCCTAGGTAAAGGGTTTAAATTTCATACATAAGAATTGGAGTGAATATTGAGATAGCAAACTTGTCAAGAGTTGGGCTCCTAAAAGACAAATGAAGCAAAATATTCAAGAAAGATCGAGTGAATAATTGTGTTTGTAAGATTAATTTAGAAAACTAACATTTGTTTTTGTAAGTGTGCAGTAGAATCTTCCTACATGTACTCTTGATTGTGTTTTGTTTTTTTTGTTTTTTTGGTTTTTCTCCGGTACCGGGAACCAAACTCACGACCTTGTGCCTGCCAGGCAGGTGCTTTTGCCACTGAGCTAAATCCCCAGCCCCATGTACTCTTCATTGTGATTGGCCCAAAGTTAATGAAAGAGGAGACACAGGGATAAATATAATGAAAAAAATTGGAAACAAGAAGCATAGTCAACAAATCAGAGTTTTAAACCAAAAAGAGCAGGCACGTAGAAGAATAAAGAGTGAGGAGGCCTGTGTGGTCTCCAGAGTTCTCTAAAGATAAAAAAATTATCTGTCATATTTATTCATGATAAACATATTCCAGTATAGAGAAAATTTGGTGATGGAATTAGAAAAAAGAAAAAGGCTGAACTTATATTGCAGGTTATATTAAGGATATATTCCAACTACTATTTATATCACCAGTGTGTAGTCCAACAGATATAGCTGGCAGAGCATCCAATAAATATTTAAATAATAATAAATAAAGTAATGGTTGGATAAAAAAAACTGGCAAGAGAATAGCAGAAGAATTTTATTTCTGCGTGGGAGAATTCAGTGAGAGTAAGAGAAAAGAGCAAACACATGGAAGTAACGAAATTAATGGATAAATTAAAGCAACTATGAATGACTTGAATTGTACGGGTACTTATGTCTAATCTCTGGTATTTAAGCTCACTATTCTAGATTTTTTTGTGATTTTAATTGAGCACTTGGGAAATAGAGCTAGCCTATATCAAGTTTATACCCAAAGAAGACTACGCTAATCAATTATGGCACTGCTTAAGCTTCAAATTGACTAGGGCTTTAATTCATCTCTTCCAAAAGCAATTGCCAAAATATTAAAAACTGCTAGTAAAGTTAATTATATTCTTCACTTCTATTCTGAAAATTTTTAGTCTAGGCCTAACCTTCCCTGCCCCATCTTATATGTTCCTTAGGACCTGCTTTGTCAGGAAAGGCTTTAAATTTTTAAAATGAAAAGGGTGATCATATTGTAATCATCAAAGATTAAATTTCTATCTCTGATGCAAAGATGAGTAGAGGTATATCCTGAGCTAATGAGTTCAGATGATTAATATGTGGAAAAACAGTTGAAAGGTATTCGTTTCTTGTCTCAAACTTTTGGTTCCTTTGAATCTTCATATGCATTTTCTAGTCTCCATTTTCTTAATTTCTACTTTGATCTTTATTACATCTTTTCTTCTGCTCACTCTGCGTTCAGGTTGCTCCTTTTTTCTAGTTCCCTTCACATGTGTTTAAGTTATTGATGTGGGATTTTTAAGCTGTTTGCTCCCTCCCAGCATTGTATCAGCTGCCTCTCATAGGTTTTGCTATGCTGTGCTTTCATTTGTTTTAAAGCATTTTCTAGTTTCTCTTGTGATACTCTGACACACTGCCTCTTTAACAATATGTTTTTTAACTACCACATATGTTTACCTTTTGTATTTTCGTTACTTCATTGAAATTTTATTTCATAGTGGAAGCATTGATTGAATCAATCATTGAAAATCTTTAGCTAAACCAAAAAGGAGGGAAGATGTGAATGACTAAAATCAGGACCAGAAGTGCAGACATTTCTACTGACTTAACAGATATAAAAATGAATGTAAGATAATGTTGTGAACAATTATAGTCCAATAAATGACGTGACCTAAGTGAAATGGAAAAATGCATAGAAATATAGAAATTATCAACACTAACAAGAAATCATGGAAATTACCAACAAACCTATTTCCCTGCCTCAAAAAAAAGAGAAACATGATCAAGATGGCTTCAGTGTAAATTATACCAAACAGAAAGAATCAACATCAACCTTTCTTAAATGCTTCTCCCTTCCACCAAACGTCCCCCCACAAAAAAAAACAACCCAAAAAGAGAGAAGATGACTTCCTAAACTGTACTTTGAGGTAAATATTGTACTGGTACAAAAGACACTGAAGAACAGGAAACTGCAAGAAAACTGCACTCCAGTATCCTTTTTCAGTGGAGATGCAAAAATTCTCATCAGAATACTCATGAGCCAAATCCAACAGCATATTGAAAGGGTCATATACCATGACCAAGTAGGATTTATTCTAGGAATGTAAAGAGAATTCAATACATAAAAGTATATTAATATTATATACATTAATAGAATGAAGAAAACAGGCTAATTTAAATTGTTACGGAAAAGTCACAATATCTAAAACCTTGTCATAACAAAAAACAGTCAACAAATTGGTATTAAAAGAAAATTTAGTGAACATGATAAAGGGAATTTGTGAAATACACATCACTGACACCATGCTGAAATGGAGAGTACGGAAAACTTCTCTGAACAAATGAGCGTCAAAAAAAGATGCCTGCTGTTGCCACTGCATTTCAATATTATACTGAAGTTCTAGTAAAAAAAAAAATTCAACAGAAAAAAATAAATAAAAGATATCCAAGTCAGAATGGAAGTGAAGCTATCGCTGTTCATAGATGAAATGATGCAAAGTCATCATCATAAGAATTTAACAAAATTTTTAGATTTTTACTTGATGAATTTGACTCTTATGAACAAAATCACCAGTTTTAGAGAACAAATTCAATGTTCAAAATATGTTTTATTTCTACTACTTGCAATAAAGAATCCAAAATGTAAATCAAGACAATTCAATTTACAGTAATACCTAAAGCACATCATAAAAGCAAAAAACAGAAACAATTTAAGAGTAAATTTTCCTGAAAAGCTGAAAAAATTGTGCATTGAAAAGCACAGAATATTGCTAAAAGAAATTAAAGAAGGTATGAATAAATGTAATGTCATCCTGTGTTCATGGTTTAGACATCTTCATATATCTAAGGGATAATTCCTCATAGTAACCTACAGATTCAATCCAATAATTATTAAAATCCCATATCTACATTAGTCAAATCCATAAATTGTTGTTAGGAGGTTCTGGAGGCTAGAATGAAGAAGAATGCGATGTGACAGCTTAATGAGTTTGAGTTCCTTTTGGGGAGTTGTCAAAGTTTTAGAAGGACAGTAATAATGATTGCACAGTATTTTTAATTTACTGTCACTAATGTGAGATTTATGCTATCTTTATTTTGGGCAGAAAAATATATAGTATACCTCAATGTAAAAGTTACCACTTTCTAAATTAAAATAGCAAAAATCTAAGTGGTGTTGAATTTGGTGTTCAGGTTTTAGATACAACACCAAAAAATTATCGGAGAAAGAAAACATGATACTTTGGTTCATTATAATTAAGTACTTCTACTCTGTGAAATACTTCGTTTTATTAGAATAGGAAAACTTATTGGGCAATAGGGACAGGAAATAGGAATGGGGAAAAAGATTAACTCCTGAGAGACAGACAGGGTCCCAAAGGAGTGGCCAATGACCCCACTTCTCTATGAAAGTTTTACAGAGCAAAGTCACAAGGGATGTGTACAACATGAGTCAAATTATAATCAAATGATAAGATTACAAGTATAGCTGCTTGGTTAATATTGATTGAATAGTAGCAAAGGCATGTGAATGGCATCATTAACCTTGGTTTATTATCTATGTTCTTAGTTGTTTTTTAGTCTTAGCTGGCTTGGTCTTGGTCTTGGTTTGGTCTTGGTCTGAGTCTTCGTCTGAGTTTGAGTCTGCGTCTTTGTCTTCGTCTTCGTCTGCGTCTGAGTCTGGCACATTGGTTGGTGGTTCCATCTGCATGATCACATGCTTGATCACGTTGCTTTCTGTGAAACATGGAAGAATTTTTGTCTTAGTGTGTGGGAGTCTTAGTGTGTAGGAGAGGATGATCTACCCCTAAATAGATAACGTTTTGTTTATATGGGAAATTTCAAAAGGGTGGTAGTAACAGTAATCTCAGCGGTGCCAAGGAAGTATGTAAATCTGGCCATTGTGACTTCAATCTTAAGATGTGCCTCCAGTCACAGTTTTGACGTGTTCTCATCTCCTGCACTGACTCCCTTGAGGGCCTAGCCATATCTGACTGCCTCTTAATTTCTGTCTGATTTACCTCTCTATATTTACACCTCTGAAGAGGTATCCCTCACTTCAGTTAGGAGAAAAGGGGCATAGTTTCAATCTAGCTTTTTTGAGCTCAGAAGGGTCAATATAGGGGAAACTGTAGTCAGCAGCCTTCTCCATAGTGCTAATCTGAGATCCCTTGGATAGAAATCATGTTGCAGATTGGTAGTTCTGAACTCCCTTTGCAAGTTTGATCCAGTGGATCTCAGTAAAAGGAGTCTGGCACATTGGTTGGTGGTTCCATCTGCATGATCACTTGGAGTCTGGCAGCCTCTAAGTAAGATTATAAAAAAATTTCCAAGAAATTAAAGCATGTGTAATCAAATCATGAGCACTAGAATGGAAAGGCAGGTTGGAGAAATAGCCACATCCAGAAACTGCTCTTAAGAAAATGGAGTAGCAGTTGTAACCATTTGGCTGTTAGAATCCTCTCCTGATGGAGATTATCTATGAGTTTCATATTTCTTGTCAGAAGTTCTTCTAGTTTTAGCAGTAAGAAAGTGGAAAGTTTGGTGGCTTCAAAGGACAATTTTAGATACAGATTTGAAGATTCTCATCCAGCTTTTATAGCTTCTACCATAGGTTTTTAGCCAAACTGAACCACAAAAGTGGTCAGCTACTCATGCAGAAGGAAACTGCCAGAAAGGTTCAGTGGTTGGAGCTTGTGTTTATATCTAGATTTTATTAAATGATTACTATGGTATCATTTTCATACATGGAAACTGCCAGAAAGGTTCAGTGGTTGGTGCTTGTGTTTATATCTAGATTTTATTAAATGATTACTATGGTATCATTTTCATACATCTTTTGGTTATACTTTTCTGCTGGGTGTTTTAGAGTAATTTAAAGTGAGACCAGTATTAATCAAAATTAACCTTTTGCTGGCTATCATGGTCAGTTAAGTCTCCTCAGACATTACTTTTGGAACCATGTGCAGAACCTTTCAGCCCATCTGTCATTGCCAGCCCCCAGGATGGGTCACAGTCTTGCTTGATCATGTTGCTTTCGTGAAACATGGAAGAATTCTTGTCTCTGGTGACCTTCTTTATTGGCACACTATATATTCTGAGGTCCAGTAATCTGCCTGCTCGGGTGGTTGGGTGGCTTACCAAAGTTGTAGGATCCTGTAGAAAAGGAAGCCTTGTATCTTATGTCCTCACTTACCTTAGAGAGCCAGGGCCAAAATCTTGGCTGTCCTCATAACCCAGTTACCTTTCTAGTTCTGGTCTCCAAACTTCAATTGTTGAACACCCAGAGAAGATCAGTTATTATCAGTATGGGAGTAGGAGCAGTGAGCTTAACTATTATAATCTCACCTGGGTAGCAAACACTTTGAAGTATAAAGTATAAGAGGGATCTTATTTCTTACCAATCATGCTTGTTTCAGAAGCTTATTCCTTGCAGAGTGTCAACAGGCAACAATTTTAAAGTTTTATGGAGAAAAATTGAGATCAAGAGCCATGTGCATAGTATTTCAGCATGACAATCATGGTATTATCTTAAAACACATTTAAATCTCTATCTTAGTATAGAATACCCTTTTAGTCAATCGTCTCCATTTAGTACACAGTGAAGCTCCCCTAGGGTGTTGCCTTTAATAGAATGTCATCAAGGAAACATGTGACACTGTCTGGAGTGCTCAGTGCCTGAGCATCACTAAGTATAGTGACACATATATATCATCACATTGACACATACATAACGTCACATAAACTTTTAAAAAGAACCTGTCATTTGACTGGTGATCTCATATGGCTTGACATCTACCTCTTAGCATCAGTAGCTGGAGCATAAGAGAAAGGCAGATATCTGAGTCTAAAAGAAAAGATTGTAGAAATGATTCCTTTTATATCTTAGAAGATCTGTACATACTGAAAGCCTGAATGCTTTAAATATACCAGAAATTGGCAATAATGAGTGTCAAAACTATATGGAAAACTTTGTCTCTTAATTTTGTTTCATACCAAGAGGATATTTAATAAGAAAACCTTGTTTCCCACAAAGAGGACTTAACATTTTGATGACAACTAATGTAAACATATTACAACCATATGTTTAGCAATATTTATTGGAGTGTCTCACATAATGTTATGGAAATTATTGGGGTCCCATCAGTGAAAAAAGACTGGAATAAGTGTTACCAGGCAGCTGCTCTTTTATTCACCAATGTGAATTTCTTTCAGCAATTTCCCCAAGCTTAATTATCTTAACAAATTTTTTCAGATGATCTATGAGATCCATAACAATTATCACATTATTCTTGACCAGTGAAAGACTTTCCAAGTTATTGTACATAGACAACAATCAACAATATACATTGCATTTGTAAAACCAGTCTTCACATCATTTTGATCAGCTGGCAACCTGGGTGGAAATGTGTCCTTAACTTTAATGGCATATATCTATAAACCAATTCAAGTTTAAAAATCGAAAAAAGAAAAAAAATGTATTTTAGACAAAACAAATGTTAATGTTACAGCCAGTCTCAAATTGAACAGACAGAGACAGGCACACATGAGACAATTGTTACTAGACCAGAGTGCACTTAGGTGTAGGTGGCTCATTCAATTATACTAACTCTTTTATGGTTTTTAGGTTTGTAATGATAAGTAGACTAGTCAGAACTTTTTATAAGTTAATTAACAGAGACCTCTTATAATAATCAGAGACAATAAAAACCTTTTACACCTGTGAAACACTGACAGTTTTGAACATGGACCTTAGGCTGTTGGTTTATGTGATTGGTCTCTAGGAACGTTTTTGTTCTTTCAGTGAATTTATTTACCCTACAAAAACCAGTCTATCTCCTCTTTATTGTAGTATTTTTGAGGAAAGAAGAAAATGAAAGGAGTTAATCTCCAGTTCTGACAGATACATTAAGATATAGTTGGATTAAAACTTTTAAATTTATTCTTTGAGAGACTGAGGATTCAATTTAGACTAGTTTTTTAGAATATAGCCCAGAGATAAGTAAAGGTCAGATTCCATCTGAAAGGGTCCCAGGAAGGGGAGACTCACAATTCTGGAAACTTGGTCCTAAAATCCAGCAGCTGCAGAGGAGCAAATTGCATTGGACCAAGCATTGTTGTAAACTGTGTTATTTCTCAGGGGTAGGACAGGAGAGAAGGGACAGAAGATTAACTCTAAATATGCTATAAGACCTAAAGCCTAACCATGTGAAGGGCAAAAAGACAATTAAGATCAGCAGCTTTCCCAGGGTGGATTTCTAATCCTTAGCAAATCATGACTCCAGAGACAAAAGTTATGATTGACTTCAACTGCATTGCCAAAAAGAAAATTAAACCAGTAATCAAAGAACCTGAATGACTATTTTTTAACCTTTTGAAAGAAAGGGAACATTGGAAGTGCTACAGCTATATTGTTTAGGGCTTACTTTCTAATAAATGACTCTGAATCAAGAAGTTCTAAAATCCCAGCCTGCAAAAGAGATCTATCACCTCTGGGGACATATAGAGACAGGCAATAGTCCAGAAGAAATCTCAGCCCTGGGTTCTAGAATAAAGAAGTCTCTGGCACATTTTGGATTCTCTATCTACCTAGGCAGTTTTTCTCCATAGCAGTTACTGGTTAGGCTCTACTTAAACACACTTTGAAATTATGTATCTGCCGGTATCTGTAATACATTTAAGAAACTCACATATTAAAGTCTGTACCCATTTTCTAGCGATCACAAATTATATGTTAGTAAAGTCACATTTATCAGTTTTTCCTTTCTCATATGTATGGGATAAAAGAGAAAGGGTAACAACTTTTGGTTTCATCCTTAGCATGTGTAAGGTACAAATGGAAGTCACTCCGCTGATAGCTGTTCTCCTGTGTTAAAGAATGAATTCTAAGTAACAACAGAAATTAACAGTAGGAAAATTTGTTAGGGAATAAGAATGAGGAATATGAATGGGGAATAGGAGTAGCTCCTGAGAGACAGGAGGGGTCCCAAATGTTTTGTCATATGAAATATCTCTTAAATAAATGAAATATTTATAAAATATTTATTTTATATACACCCAAATATAAAATGAACTCTTAAAACTCAATAATAAGGAAACAAACAATCCAATTTTACAATGGAAAAGGATCTAGACATCTCACAATAGAAGAAAATACAGGGGCAGATAAATATTTCATAGTTTTCAGCATCATTTTTCATGAGGAAACTGCCTATTAAAGTACCACTTCATATCTACTAGAATGATTTTAACCATCTGACAGTTAAAATTCCATAATTTTCTTGCATTACTTGCCAATATGATGTTGAAAGAAGTTGTACAATAAGAAATAATTTTATGATCCAGAATTTATGGAGAAAGTATTGTGTTTCTCACCATGAAATGTGGTATTACATATATTTTTATTAAAATATGAAGACTTCTCCCCACTATTTAGAAGTTCAAAAGTGTTTTTATCATGAATGAACATTAAATTTTTTCTCATGCATTTTTATTGTGAATGGCAATAAATATATGTTAATTTATTTTTAATATACTTAATTGCAATACTTATTTTTTAGTATTAAACCAACCTTAAGTTCCCGTGGTTAATTCTTATTTATTCATGAATCACTATCTTTCAAATATATTGTTAAATTTCATTTTCTTATATATTTTAAGCTGTAAATATATTATTGAAGGTTAATGGTATTTAATGTTCTTCTACAAAATGTCTTTACAGGGCTTGACAATGAAGTTACGCTACCCTCATACAATTATTTGGGCAATGAGTTTTCTTTATTTTCTGAGTAAGAATGTGTTGGTTTTTCTTTCTGAATAATTTATGTAATTTGACAGAAAAAAGAATCTTTCTCATAATTTTCTTGTGGGAAAGATCTTTATAGGGAACCTTAAAAATCAATAGACATGAAGTTGTAGTAGACTTATTTTCTCCCCATCTCCAATAAATATCTGCACCATAATTATTAAAACCTGTGGACTTTGCCTGCTGTGGTAACAGACCCTTTGTAGAAGTAAGCAAGTCAAGGATTTTGAGATGGGGAATTTACCCCAGACGAGGCCACACACTGCCAGTGGTACTTCCTGGAAGAAAGTGCGAGGAAATGTCACTCTTCCTCATTGAAGTCTGGCTTTATTTTTAGCTCAGTGAAACTGACAGTACACATTTGCCACACAACTATAAGAGAATTTATTTTTGTCATAGGTTTTGAGGTTTTAATATTGATCACATGTACCTTTGTAATATTTAGGTCTTCCAGAATAATGGATCCCAATTAATGTCAAATAATCATATTAATCATAAAGATTAATATGAAATAAAGTCAATTAATCATAAAGAAATGGTCCTATTTATCATTCTCTTTGTCTTACTGTCTACATTCGTATAATAGTGTCAGTTTTAATCTTCCTATGTTAATTCCTTGCATGGTATAGAACTTTCCATCCACTAATTTTCAACTTGTCTTATTTTTAAGGTGAATTTTAATGTACATCTTTATCTGATGTATTCAGTGGTCGTTCTAGCAATTGCAAATTTCTCCTCTTAACCTTGTAAAGCCCAGTTGGAAATTTCAGTCTACCACCTCACAATAAATAAAATTGCAACTTCATATATCCCTTTTACAGTCTTCCTCACTGTCTTTTGTGTCATAGTTAGCATATATACTTCTTCTAAATACATTAAAATTGGAACAAGGCAATATTACAATCATGCATTATGAAATCATATATTTAAGGAAAAAGGTGTTTTGTATCTGCTCAAACCTTTCCTACTTCTGATGCTCTTATTGCTTTGGGGATAATTTTCTTCAGCCTGGAGAATTTCCTTTAGCACGTTTTATATAGCACCTCTTTAAGAAGATGATTTCCTTAGTTTTTCTTTATCTGGAATTGCAGTATTCTATTATACCTTCCTTATTAAGATATATTACACTTGATACAGATTTATTGATTGAAAGATTCCCCACCCCCACCCTCCCTCCATCCTGCACTTTGAAAACATTGTTTCACTGTCGTTTTTGTGTGTCTTTTTGAGACAGGGTTTCATTATGCAGTTTAGGCTAGCCTTGAACTTACTTTGTAGCCCATGATGGCCTCAAACTCATAGTGATCTTCCTTCCTCAGCCTCCTGAGTGAACTGGGATTACAAGCATGCACCACCATGCCCAGCCTATTTCACTGTCTTATGTTATCCTTTTTTGGATAAGAAGTACAAGATCACTGAATGAACTTTCATATTTCTGTGTTTGCTTTCAACAGATTTTTCATTAACTTTGTCTTTAAGAGTTTGACTTTGCCATATCCAGTTATGTTTTTCTTTGCATATATGTTTTATAGACATTTTGAATGTGTGCTATTTCATCAAACTTACAAATCTCATATGTATGTGACATATGTACAATGTTTACTGCTTAATTAATTGATTTTTTGCCATACTGGGAGCTCAAGCCAAGGTCTTCTCACTGACCTTCATTCCTAGCTGATTTTGTATTTTATTTTGAAACAGGATCTCATTAAGTCCCTAAGTTGCCCAGGCTGGTCTTGAACTTTTGACCATCCAGCCTCAGCTTCCTAGAATGCTGGGATTATAAGTAAGTCCAACCACTGAATGTTTAACTTAAAAAAAATTATAGTGAAAGACACGTTCCCATGAATACCATTTAAATGACTTCCTCTCATTTTAAACAGTTTTATCCCATCATTTTTCCACTTTCTGAATCATTTATAGAAGCCCTCTTTCACAAGAAGCTTTTTCTGGCTGCCTTCATACCCTGAATCAATTCAAATGTTTCTGGAAATTTTGGCTAAATAATAAAAGCATTACGTTGTGTCCTCATCTACCTTATTCACCAGATTTGGCATCCTGTGATTTGTGCCCAGTCTCAATGTCAAAATGACCATGAAAGGTGAATCAGTGAGTGTTTTGCTGGAGGAAGAGATATAGCACAAAATATACAAATGTATAAGAAGTTACAAGATTGGCTTATGATGGTCATCCACAGAGTTGGATGCGGAAGAGTGCAGAGTGTGTCTGCTCACTGGAGATCGAAGGTTCCCATCCAAGTTCTGGAGTTCATTGCAGCATTCCATGCAAGTTTGTATCAGGAAGCCAATGGGTCTGCAATGGAAGGCTAAAGAGACTATGATAGAAGGCTGAAGGATCCATGGCAGAATCTGCCCTGGAAGCAAGGAGATGATATTCAAGCTCAAGGAGAAGACTGGAGCTCCTCTAAAGAACAGACACAGATCCATCCTTCCTCATTTTCTCTTTATATCATCCAGGTGATGAACTGCCCAAGGGTGGGTCTTCTACACGCTAGGGTGTAGAATTGCTGAGCCAACTTAGTTAAGCTTCTAAACTTCTCCAATTGATGCAATCAATCGAGCATTGCAAAAGGTAAACATCTGGATCAATTCAGGTCATGAAGACAGCCACAAAAGTGCAATTAAAGATAGTCAAGAAAAAAGACATTCATAAATGCTTCAAAAAGTGCCAAGAATGATGGAATAAGTATGTTCTAAGTGAGGGACATTATTTTGAAGGAGATTAATGGCAATATGTCTTTTAACATAGTAACTTTTAAATTTTAAATATGCACTGTATTTTTCAATATGTACTTGAAGCATATATAAAATACGCTATTTGAGGTGTGCTTGACGAAAAATATTCTCATTTTACTTACTATGAATAGTATTCTGAGGGTAGAATCATAAGAGTGAGTTTCTTATTTGCTCATAATGCATATATAAGTGGGTTTTTAAAAATATATCCTCCAGAATATCTGAACTAATTTCTTGTAGCATCTTTAAATATGTATTAGCCAACTATTTTTGGTCATTGTTTGTGCTTATGTTTTCCAAGTTGATGTGGTATGTACATGCACCCACTCCACAAAAGGAATGGAAACATTATGTGGTGCAAACAGACACTACTAAAAATTATTTTTAAAAAATCAGTAGCTGTATCCATTCATCTGTTGATGGGTATATAGACCACATCTATAATTTAGCTATTGCAAACTGCTACTGTAAACGGGAAAGCACATATAACTGTTAATATGATGTCTTTAATTTTTTCATGGATAGTTCTGCACTAGACATAGCTGGGTCAAATAAAATTGCTCCTTTTGGCTCTTTGAGAGAGCTCCATATGTGTGTTTTAAGATTGTAGAGCAAATTGAAATAAATCAGAAAAAAAAGTTAAATATCACATCTTCTTACACAAGAAACACAAAATATAAATAAAGAGCAAAATAGAAAACAGGTGGTAATCAGCAGGGAGGTAGACCTTGTGGAGATGGGAGAGGATTCCAGGGAAAGAGGGTTTGGGAGTGGTAAAGGGGAGGATAAAAAATGATCAAGGTATGATGTTTGTGTGTACCACTTTCCAAGGTGAATGTAATTATTCTGCATCACATCATATAATAATAATAATAATAATAAACATTGTAAAAATCAATATATTTTCTATTGAAAATATTGAACTAGCTGAGAAAGAAATCAGGAAAACAATTATATTCACAATAGCTTAAAAATAAGTACCTGGGAATCAATATAACGAAGGATGTTAAAGAACTCTATAAGAAAAATTACACAGTACTGATTAAATATTTCAAAAACACTAGAAAATAGACCTTCCTGTGCTTGTAGATTGGCAGAATAAATATTTTCAAAACAGCCATATTACCAAAAGCTAAAATATCAGTGACATTTTTCACTGAACTAAAAAATCATAAAATTTAAATTAAACCCAAAGACCTAGAATAGCCAAAGCAATCCTAAGCAGAAAGACCAAGGCTAAAGGCATAATGATATCTGATTTCATATTATATTGCAATGTCTCAGTGAAAAAAGAGAAACAATGATACTGGCATAAAAGGAGATACATAGACCAATGCAACAAAATAAAGGACACAGAAAGAAATGCACCCAACTTCACCCATCTGATCCTTAACAAAGTAGCTAAAAATACAAGTTGGAAAAAGTACAGCTACTTGAACAATTGTTCCTGGGAAAACTGGATATTTACATATAGAAGAATAAAACCATCCATCACAAAGAACCTTTGTCTTGACAGGCTAGTGCAGTGGACTAGGGCGTTCACTACAACCAATAATTTAAAATCCAAATGAAAACCAGAATAGTAGCTGATACTAGCAAGTGTTGGAAGCAGTCCACAGCCAATTAGTCAAAAATTGTTTTACTAAAATGGAAGACCGATGACCAATTCAACAAATTACTGAGGATTGCTAGATCAAGTGTAGGTGGTGCCACATATTTTTCCAAACAGTTATACCACCTTCATTTCTATCTGCAATGTGAATCAGTTTACCTTAATTTGCTGCCATCATTTCCAATAACTATTTTTAAAATAAATATATGAAAGAGTCAGATATAAAGCAGCAGGGATGGCTTACCCTCTGTCAGACAGATCTTGAAACTCAAGTCTTTAAAATAATACCAGGTTGGCTAAACTGAATTCATCTTCAGAGTTTCTTGCAAGAGCTGTTAAATTCATGCAAGAGCTGTGGTCACTGCTTTAAAAAGAAAATATATTGTGAAACAAAAACATTGTATAACTAAGTGAGTGACTGTTTCCCCTGTTTCATAACAAAGAAACAGCCAGAATGACTCAGAGAGTCGCCTGTGATGTTGATTCTTATTTGGGACAGTATTAAAGATCAGAGAGTGTTAATATCTAATGAACAACAATTTCTAAAAACCTTTGCTCAAATTCTATGAAGTAGATCTATAACATAGTGGAAATAGCACTTTCTGTTTTACTAAGATGAATTCAAATTATGCCTTCTGTATCTTTTAAGGAGTTCAACTTCTCTGCATGCACCTCAGTTGCTTTCGTTTTGAACTGGAAATTCATTAGCTGTACTTGTTGAATGCTCATAATATTTTAAGCACTATACTGTCACTTAGGATTCAACGGGGAACTAGAGAAGGATAGAACTTACATACTAGTGACAGAGACATAAAACATACCTAAAACAAAAGAATAAAAATGATCTCAAAAGTGATTATGAGTTGGAATAAGTACTATGAAGAGATCAGAGGAAATATTGAGAGACGATGTATGAAAGTTAAAACGTCACATTATTCTGTTAGGGGGAACAGGTGACTTAATAAAGCAACTAGGGAAAGAAGTTCATGACCTTGGACAGACCATATTAATAGCTTATTGGCTTTGCCTTCTTATTTGTAAGGAGCCTTACTTGAATCTAAGTGAGAGAATAGTGAGAATTGAAGATGTTACCAAATATAATTGCTACAGTTTGTGTCTGGATGTCCCCCCCAAAGCCTCAGCAGTCATAGGGTGGGCTTCTAGAGTTTATGACTGATCCACGATCCAATGTTGGGATTGGGGATATGAGTGCTACACCCCGCCGGGGGTTAGTTTGCATACAGTGTAAGGGAGGGAAAGAGGCTACTTGCTGCTGCTCCCCCCTTTTGCTCTTGTTGCTTCTGCTGTTTGCTCTCTGCCATGTGCCACCCTGCCTGGGAGCCAGCCTAGTATAGACTGAAACCTCCACAAACTGTGAGCAAAATAAACCTTTCCTTCTTTAATTTTGGGTGTCAGGTGTTTTGTCTCAACAAGAAGGGTAAAGTAACCAAGACAGTAAGAAACTTTAAAATACTACACAGTACATAGCAAGTACTAGGTAAAAAGTTAGCTTTCGTTATTGAAGCTTGCAGAGTTGATGTATGATTTACCAAACTTTTCAACTGAAAAAGAATAAAATGAATGCAGAAGAAAGACAACATTTCAAAGTGAATGAATGCATTTCTCACAGACATGGTGCCTTCGCCTTTCCTGTCTACCATTGTCTTCCTTATGCTTCATGCTATAGGAATAGCAAATACAATCTGCAGGTCACACAATGTTGTGTCATGCTAGAACCTGGAATGGCCTCTTTGTTCCAGTTTCTTTACTTCCAACCTTGTTAATCGTCTTTCTAATTTGACGTTACCACCTCTAAAAAGTCATGTACTGCTTTTAGATATTTCATCACACCTCTCTCTGTATAAGATCTTCATGTTGCATATCATAGAATTTCTTGTACTCATACTACATTGTTGTGTTTCCGTGGTTCTTTTCCTTAATAAGCTATTCAGTATCTCAAAGATAGGGACTCTTTCACACCCACCTCTCCATCTCCCCAACTTACTTCATTGACTAATGCATAGTACAATTTCAATAATTACTTGTTGAACGGATGAGTGGATAAGTGAATATTTTTCATGGTATCCTCATAATTTTGGCGGACTTTCAGCAATGATTCAGAAGGGTAAATAAATTTGTGATGTAGTAAAGAAAAAAGAAAATAATAAAATCAATTATGAGAAGTAGTAACAAAACTGCTAGCTTTTTGTATATATCATACTTAATCTGCCTAGTAACCCTATTTGATAATTCTAATTACCATCTATGTTTACAGAAGTAGAAAATGCAAGGTTAAGTTTCTAGACCCACACCATATACCCCATAAAACGGTTTCTTGCTTTGCTACGTGATGTAACTCTTTGGGAACTAGAGTGACACTGTTTTTGAATTTTAATACTTGAATTAGGTATTGATAAAAAATGAGAGAAATATTTTTAAGATGCTGTGCTTAAGTAAACTTGGTAAATGCTATCCTTTCCTCTTGAGGGTACATAGCATACTTAGCACAGTAAAAACTTGGAAAGTTTCTATAACAAAGGATTTAATTACTTTTCATAACAAAGCTTAGCTGAACTGATGACAGAAATTCTATTTTCTCCCGTGGAACAATAATTTGTTTTCATAAAAGCCATGATGCCAAGAAATGTACTCTGGGTTATGCTCACTAATTTATGGAAACAAATAAAACATTTAACTTTACATAAACATGTATAAAATATGGTGTGTCTGTTTAATTCCTACACACTTCTTGAGTGGAAAATATTCCTGACAACTGAAATTATGTAAATAATGTATAGCAGGAATAAGGTCAGGTTGTATTGCAAGGACATCTTAACTGTACATAAAAGTTTTACATACTTACTTTGTATATAGTTCTTCCTGCAAAATTTTAAGTGCATACAGAAAGACAAAAAATGCTTACCACATTATCTATGTGCCTGGTGGCAATGATAGTGTGATACTTATGATAGGATATTCAGAAAAGTCCTCATATAAGGTTTTGACATCTGTTAATTCTTTAAAATGAAAAGCTGGAATATACCCTTGTAATTAACTAATTTCTATTTTAGGTTGCACATACATGAGATGAACCAAAAGAACTAGCATCTACTTAGAAAATTCCCTCAGTGAAAAGGGAATTTGTGAAAATTTTATAATTTGGAGACTTTGAATTTCTTGGCTAGAGATCTTTTAAATGAATATCATCACATCATGTCAGCAACTGGGTTTAGTGTCAAAATTGTCTTGGCCCTAAGTATACCTTCTGACCATGAACAAATGAGGAAAGATTAGGAGTGGATATTTTCACTATAAGAAGGTCCAATTATGTCATAGCATACTGTACATGTCAAGAGGTGAAAAGGACTGGAGAATAGAGAAGTGGTGAGAGGAGCTCAGTCATCACACTGTCCTTGGAAGTGCCAGGCCAAATGTGTGGTCCGTGAAAGTCAGTACCATCCGCATGTTTTGTGCAGTGTTCTTACTTCCATACATTGTATAATTTTATTGCCATTGAACTATAAATATATTATTTTATAGAACTGTGAAAGCTATCAGAGCAAATTAGAGCCAATTTTATATTTGTACTATTTAAGTAACATCATACTAGAAAAATTGTTTACACTAAAAATCCAACCTATTCTAAACTAATTGATCACTCTTTTCCAAAGAAAAGATACTGCACAGTGTAAATCTTGTAACTCAAGAGCTATCAGTGGGGGAATTTGGAAATCCGTGAAACCATTGCTTGTGTCACAATGCCTAGAACCTACTACAATCAAGTGCTCTGGTTTAGAAGACAGTATTCAGAGATGTTAAATATCTTATAAGGACTCAAAATAGACTTGATTGAGTTTGTTGTTGATACTGATATGTCTTGCTGAAATTTCAGTAGTACTACCATTAGGTTGTCCTGCAGCTCATTTTGATCATGATGTTAAATTCAAATTGAACTCAGCTTTAGCAATTGCACTTTGCTATATGATGGGTGTGTATGGATGCTTATCTGCTTCCTTGCTTGACTATTTCCCCGTACCATTTCCCTCTTCATTTAGAACTATTTATTTATATCCGACTTCATTTCCCAAGGGATCTCAGTGTGTTTATGTATGTTTGTGTACACATATGATCCATGAGGTCATTGTTCAAATTGGGCTCCAACTATGGTTTATACAACCACTGATTCATTATTTTATGCTGCAGGTTTTGTGCCTATATTTTTAAGTTGAATAGATGAAGACATTTTCACCTTCATGGCATGAAGCCTAGACTTCGTTTTTTCCATTTTATTTCCATATAGTACAAGTTCCATAACCTTTCTTTGTCTTGAGTGTACCATTTGTAAAATGGAATAAAGGGCACTTAGCTCAAGGGCTTTCTGGTGAGGAGTAAATGAGAAATAAGTGACTGCAGAGTGTAGCTCTGTTGTTAATAAGAATTAGCTATATAAAAATATTTGTAATTTTGGCAGTGAACGAATTTGTAGTTTTGGTAGACCTTTTAGAGAAGCAATTGTTATTTTAGGGCTTAATGGGAATATGGCATAAAGTTACTGTTAGAGTAGAGCAAAAGTGAGCTGCAGAGAAGGGGGTTATATGTGTCCAATATGAGAGGACTGTAGAGAGTCTTCTCATTTTTACTTCAATACTTTCTTCATTCTATGCCCCTTTTACTCTGAAAGTTGCTAAAAGGGTTAAAAGCATAGGCTAAAAGCAGAGCTAATAGACTTTGAGATTGCTATTCTATTGAAGAGTTGAGAAAGCAAGGCTATTAGAAGATCCCTTCTTTCTAAATGATAGGCATATCTTTATTTCAAAACAGAGAAAATTTATCTTCTGTTGGGCTGGATGTGTTGCTTAGTGGCAGAACACTTGATTGGTGGGAAGAGAGCCCACGGTTAAATTTTAAGCAACAGTAGCCAAAAAATTGTAAAATATCCCTTCCTCCTTTCTTTCTTTCTTCCTTCCTTCCTTTCTTTCTTTCTTTCTTTCTTTCTTTCTTTCTTTCTTTCTTTCTTTCTTTCTTTCTTTCTTCATTCATTGATATATTTATTTTAATAACCAAACAATAATTGCATATATTTATTGGGCAAAATGTGATGTTTTGGTCTATGTACACATTGTAAGAAGATTAAGTCAAGCTGATCAACATATCTATCACTTCAATACATTGTAATTAACTGTGACATCATGCAATGCAGTAGATTCAAAGTCTCAGTTAGATAACAAGACTACGTTTTTGTGATCAATTGCTAGAACACACTTTGTTCATCTGTCTTCCTCAGTGGCAATTTTGCCCAAAAATTGTTTTATTTAAATTACATAGAGGTATGTCTCTGCATCCCCTAAAT